GGCTTGTTTGCAATTTTGATCGTGCTCTGGTTGTCATAGAGTAACTTAAAGGATCCGTGCATCGCCGTCTTCGTTTCCTGCAGAAGCTCCGTGAGATAGATGTGAAGAAATGAGGAATGAATGAACTAGCAAGCAGATGGGTACAAGTAGGAAAACCTAAAAGTGTTGTACCCCATATTGTCTACCCCACTACAGCCTACACAGACTATAGCATATGAGTTTGACACACCCCCATAGGCAAAGTGGGGGAGAACAAGAGGTCACAAGACTAGTCAAGCACAGCAAAGCAAGCTCACGGTGGATCACAACGTCACCACACAGTCCGAGCACAAGTTCAAGGCCCGAAGGCCAGTTCACATGCAAGATCATATATAAAGGTAAACAAGCAAGTGCAGGTATAGAAAGATCACAGTACAAGCAAGGTCAAGAAGTGAGCAAGTGTGGCCAAGTAGGCACAAGACCTAGCATCGTACAGAAGCGCTGATGATCACAAGGCGGAAGTGCCTTGGTAAAGATATCAACAGTGTTGGCCTCAAAGGCCACGTAAGCAAGGCGCAGCTGACCACGCTGGTGCAGCTCACGAGCAAGGAAGTAGCGAAGAGCAATGTGCTTCGTTCTATGCTCCTGTCTGTGCTCCCGACACAAGGCCAGCATGGCCTTGTTGTCTACGTACAGAACTGGAGGAGAACGAGGCGACACTCCTAGGTCAGTCAGTAGGTAGGTGAGCCAGCGTAGCTCTTGTGCAGCCATGGCCCTTGCGTAGATCTCAGCCTCACAGCTGGAGCCGAGAACAGAAGACGAACGGGTAGACCGCCACGAAACAGAGCCGGAACCAAGGCTGAAGGTGTAACCCTGTGACGACCGCTGCAGAGCCTGGTCGTCAGCCCAAGAAGCGTCAGCGTGACCTGTGAGGACCAATAAACGTCGCCCTCCAAGCACTAGCCCCATGCCCGGCATACTGCACAAGTAGCACAACACCCTCTTCGCTGTAACCATGTGCTCTGGTCGGTGTCTCCCAGGAGCAACATAGCGTGCCAAGATGCTAAGAGGGTATGCAAGGTCAGGTCGTGTGCACGTCATCAGGTACATGAGGCAGCCAACAAGCTCTGGGTACGGGCCACTCGACTCTACGGACTCATCCGAAGGCAGAGCTGAGAGCGAGTGGCGAGTAGACAGAGGAGTGGCCCGAGGCGAGGAGTACGTGAAGCCGAAGCGCTGAAGGACCTGATGCACCATGTGTGACTGAGTCAGGGTAATGGTGCGCTGTGCTCTTTCGCGGGTGATCTGCAAGACAAGGTAGCTGCGCAGTTCACCCAGGTCAGTGCACGTGTGTCTCTTCTACAGCTCAGGACTTCACGTGGGCGAGTCCAGTAGTGGCAAAGACCAAGTCATCGATGTACACTGAGGATATAGAACGGCGGCAGAGAGGTGTCGGTGCGCAGAAACAGCGACGGGTCGGCTGTAGAAGGAGCAAACCTAAGAGCCGCAAGTGTAGTCCTCAGTGTGTCGTGCCACTCACGGGGCATGTGGCGGGGACCGTAGACTGGCCGCCGGAGGCTCCACTAGGTACCAGGAGGAAACGACCCAGTGAAGCCAGGTGGGCGGCGCAGCCAGATCTCCTCGTGCAGGCTGCCCTACAGGAAAGCTGTGCTGAAGTCAAGAGAGTGAAGCTCGTAGTCGCGCTGAGCGGCTATGTGCAGCAGCACCCGAAGAGTGGTCATCTTTGGGGTGGGAGAGAAGGTGTGAAATTAGTCAACTCCCTGCCGCTGACTGAAGCCTCGAGCCACATAACGCGCCTTGAAGACAGACGGAGAACCCGGCGGCCGCTTCACCCTGAAGATCCACATGCCACTGACGATGTTCGCCCCAGGTGGGGGAACCTCGTCGACGTAGGTGCCTGTGGACTTCCAGGAAGCCATCTCTGCGTCCATGGCCGACTGCCACTGAGAGGAGTAGGGACCCTCGATCGCCTCAGCGTACGATCGAGGAGTCGGGATGTCTGGTGCATCCGGGTCTCCCTCAGGGGCAATCAGCGTGGACACGAGATGAGGCAAAGCAGCCGCAAAGCACTGGAACTCCTCCTGCCTGTCCTCAAGGACGTATGTGCTAAAAGCATTCTCACCCCCGACGGACGGAGGACAGACAGACTCATACTCAGCAACGAGACTGGCAGCGTAGTCTAGACCACAGTGAGCAGCGAAGTCGACAAGCTCAGCAACTAGAGCATACGCAGCAGTGGACTCAAAGGAAGGGTCAGTGACGACAGTAGCAAGAAGGCGCGTGACCGAAGGACTAGCAGCACGAAGGGAGTCAGACTCTGGGTCAGCAAGAAGAGGAAGAGAGGACTCTGGAGGAGACGGCAACGGGACACGCAGAGGAGCAGTGGAAGGACGCAGTGCCATCTGGTGTGTGCCGGGGACCGCAGGAGGACGCGGACGTGTAGTACGACCACTAGTGCGAGCAGCACGAACAGGCAACGCAGGACGAGACGCAGGCTCACGACGCTCAGCAAGACCTCCAGTAGGACCAGTCTAGGGAGAAGGAGAAAGTAGAGGGGAGGCGGGCTGTAACTGTGACTGCGACTAGACAGGCGGTGGACACTCTAAGGGAGGAGCAGGACCAGTAGAGGGCGGGAGACCAAGAACCTGCTCTGGGAGCGGAACAAAGTATGGCCTCGGCCGCGTAGCGCCTCCAGAACCAGCAAGGACGGCACCTGTACCCCCAACGACAGCACCAGCACCCTCAAGAGCACCAGCGCCAGCAGCACCGCAAGCGCCAACACCTCCAGCAGCTCCACCTCTAGCAGCACCAACTCGAGTAGGACCGTCAGCACCACCGGCCTTAGCAGCACCCCTAGACGCACTAGCACCAGTAGAAACACCAGCGCCAACACCCCCAGCAGCTCCACCTCCAGCAGCACCAGCACCGACAGCAGCTCCAGCAGGACCAACTCCAGTAACTCCAGCAGCACCCCCAGACTCAGCAGCACGTCTCTAGCGGCGGGAGAACCACTCCCGCAGCTCCTGTGGAGAGAGCGGCTCCCGCCTCGACGAAGCACCGTCGGCGGCCACAAGAGCAGACCCAGCACCCCCAGGCTCCACACCCCAACGCTTCAGCACCTCCAGGCGTAGCACCCCCTGGCTCAGCACCCCCATGGCTCAGCACCCCCAGGCTCAGCACCCCCAGTCTCAGCACCCCCAGGCTCAGCACCCCCTGTCTCAGCACCCCGAGACTCAGCACCCCCAGGACCCGGCACCCGCAGCCTGAGCACCTCTAGCAGCACCAGAGTCAACAGCTACCTCGAGAGGCTCGACTGCGTCTACCTGGGACACACCTGACGGGGCAGGACCCTGAGGGAGGAGGGGGTCTACGTGGGTAGCACCTGGGGCAAGGAAGAGCGGCGACGGGGGGAGGGGCGCAATGTGGTAGGGGAAGAGACGGTAGTAAGGCACCGACTCGTCAAAGGTGACGTCCTGGGAGGACAAAACACGGCGCGAGGTGGGGTGGTAAAACTGCCACCCAGGCGCGTCAAGGGGGAAGCCAAGGAAGACGCAGGGAACAACACGGGGGAACAACTTGTCCGCAGACAAGTCGCGGACAAACACCCGAGATCCCCAGACCCGAAACGCAGACGCATCGCCAACCTTTCCTGTCCACCGCAAGGAGGGGGAGGTCTATGGCAAGGAGACCCGGGGCTGAAGGTTGAGCTGATGCGCGGCGTACTGAACCATAAACGGCCACGGAAAATGGGGGGCAGCCGCATGCATCATGGACGTACAAGCGACGTCCATGACCATGCCAATGCGGCGCTCAGCAATCCCATTTTGCTGTGGAGAGGTCGTAAGCGTGAATTTCTGGCGGATGCCCCTGTGCACGACAGAAGGCTCCCAGACAGGTAGAGGAAAACTCCCCGCCTCTGTCCGAGTGCAGACGCAGAACAGGAAAGTCCGAGCCGAAGCTCTCTCTGAGCTGGAGACTAGCTGCGCGGATCCAGTCGATCAACACCTCAGTGACGTCACCCTTGCTGCGCAAGGGGAAGACTGTGGTGTAACGCGTAGTAGTCGTCAACGACCAGCAGAAAGTACCGCTCTCGCCCCTGCCCACTGACGCGGGCTGGGCCCCACACGTCCATGTGGAGAGTCTGCAGCAGAGCCTCTGTCGGAGGAAACTCGGAGGAGTGAGGGGCGGCGCGCTGTCGCCCCTCGACGCAGGGGACGCAGGTAGGGCCAGGCCCCGGAGGAAGGGGAGGGAGGGACCGAGGGAGACTAGAGACAAGGACACGGGAGGCCATGCCTCGGAGACGAGGCAAGGAGGGGTGGCCAAGGCGGTGGTGCAAAAGGAGAGTCTGGTGGGACAGCAGACGACACGAGCAGGGGGCAGACTCAGGACCAGACCTGGACGCTGCAGCAAACACCTGACTCGACGCAGCTACCTGGGCTAGACTCATCAGCAGAAGGAGACTCAGTAGTAAGGGTGTACAGGGTGCGGTCTCGAAAGAAGGAGCGGGACGCACCCGAGTCAAGGGTGAAGGTGTGGAAGGCCTGAGCTGACGTAGTACCTGAGAGAGCAGACTCACGAGCACCTTGGGCGGCAGACGCACTGGCATATCGGGCAGCAGACGCACTAGTACCTAGAGCAGCAGCCTCACCAGCACCTAGAGCAGCAACCTCAATGCCCAGGTCAGGCGGTACACACAGGTAACAGTCACCAGCAACACTAGTATCAACAGCATACATGGCAGCATGGATAGCATCAAAGTCAAGATCAAAGATAGCAACCACAGGCCTTAGCCAGATCCCCCCAACAAGGGATCTCTGACGCCTCAAGGAACTGGCAACGCCACGCGTCCGTCACGCGACCAAAGCAGCGCTGGGTGGAGTGCGGGCCTCCGCACTGCTCACCAGCGCGCTCGTCGGTACGGAGGACGTAAGAGTAGGGACCAAAACCCCCACCGCGCTAACGCGCAGTGTACCACTCAGGAAGCTACTGAGGAGACATGGTCACACCACTCCGCTGCTGCTGCTGGTGCTGACCACCACCGGCGCCACTCCTCGGCGCAGAGTCGCGACTCGCTCCACCACCGCCGCCTCCGCCGCCGCCGCCGCCTCCGCCGCCTCCTCCACCTCTGCCTCCTCCACTACCTCCGCCGCCTCCGCTCCCTCCGCCACCTCCACCGCCTCCGCCGCTTCACTGCTGCCGCCGCCGCCGCCACCCCCGGCACCACTCCCACCACCACCCCCACTCCCTTCACTGCCTCCACTACCACATCCACCGCCCCCTCCAGCCCCTCCAGCGCCCTTGCCCCCCTTGCCCTTACCGGTGCGGCGTCTCCCGCTCGGGGCAGACGCAGCGCCAACCGACTCGAAACCAACGAGGTCGGCCGCAGCAGCAGAGGCAACAGAGGGCAAGAGGGGGGAGGGAGAACACCCCTCAAAGACGAGGGTGCGAGGGTCACCACGAGAGGCTCCTGCAGCGACTATGCTCTTCACTATCGCTAGGAGGGCCTTCTCGAGGAGGTCAACGGTGAGAGTGGTGGGGCAAACTGAGAGGAAGTGGTCCCTGACTACGCGGAGAGAGTCAGGGAGCCGGGTGACTATGTAGTAGAGGGTGATGGTACATGGGGGGGGGGGGGGGGGGGTCTTGGCGCAGAACTCAGCAGGAAGCGCAACGCGGTAGTGAGTGTCACTAGTGCGGAGGTGCGTAATGAGGTCAGCGACTGTGGGAAAGGCAGCAAGGTCAGGGAAGAGGTACGGTAGCATGAGGCGGCTCAGTGCAGCAGTGGCAGGGGAAGAGTAGCGTGCAACTACAGCGTCGTACAAGGTATGGGCACTCTTGAACTGGCTAAAGTGTGCACGCTCAGTGGTCGGTAAGTGGCGGTGCACAGCAAGGCGAGCAGCAGCATCGCGCGTGGCCCACTGTGAGCGAATATTGGCGTCAGCATCAGCAGCAGCGGCAAGGGAGGCACCAGAAGTGAGGTCAAACAGGGAGAGGCCGTCTGCCCTATCGCACTGCAGGAAAAGCTGCAGATCATCTACCCAGACCTCAAAGTCCACTGCCCTGCCCTCAGCGTCAAAGGTGAGAACGCTAGGGGAGGCCATAACAGCAGTAGGCAGGCAGTGAGTACAGTGGGGCAAGGCAGTGCAGTGGCAAAGACTATGCTCTTACCAGGCAAGTGGGGCGGTCGGGCGGCTCGGCGGCTCGGCGGTCGGGCGGCTCGGCTGCTCGGCAGCTCGGAGGTCGGGCGGCTCGGTTGCTCGGTGCTGGGCGGCTCGGCGGTCGGGCGGCTCGGCTGCTGGGCGGCTCGACTGCTAGGCGACTCGGCTGCTGGGCGGCTCGGCGGTCGGGCGGCTCGGCTGCTAGGGCGGCTTGGCGGTCAGGCGGCTCAGCTAGCCGGCGGTTCGGCTGCTCGGCGGTGCGAGCGCTGGGCGGCGGGGCCGCAGGTGGCAACGAGGCCGCAGGTGGCGGCGGGGCCGCAGGTAGCGAGGGGGGCGTAGGTGGCGGCGGGGCCGCAGGTGTCGGCGGGGCCGCAGGTGGCGACGAGGCCGCAGAGGGGCCTAAACGGGGCCGTAAAGTGGGGCAAGACGGGGCCATAGCGGGGCTAGACGGGGCCGTAGCAGGGCCAGACAGGGGCCGTAGCGGGGCCAGACGGGGCCGTAGCAGAGCCAGACGGGGCCGTAGCGGGGCCAGATGGGGCCGTAGCAGGGCCAGAAGGGGCCGTAGCGGGGCCTGACGAGGCCGTGGAGGGGGCCTATACGAGGCCGTAAGGGGCTAGGCGGGGCCGCGGAAGGGCCTAGGCGAGGCCGCGACGGGGTCGTAAGGGGCCTAAGTGGGGCCGTAAGGGGCCTAAGTGGGGCCGTAAGGGGCCAGACGGGGCCGCGGAGGGGCCTAGCCGAGGCCGCGACGGGGCCGTAAGGGGCCTAAGTGGGGCCGAGCGGGGCCGTAAGGGGCCTAAGCGGGGCCGCGACGAGGCCGTAAGGGGCCTAAGCGGGGCCGCGACGGGGCCGTAAGGGGCCTAAGCGGGGCCGCGACGGGGCCGTAAGGGCCCTAAGCGGGGCCGCGACGGGGTCGTAAGGGGCCAGACGGGGCCGTAAGGGGCGGTAGAAGGCGGCGCTAGGGGCTGTAAGGGCGGCCAACGGGGGCCACTAAGGGCGGCTCGAGGCGCTAATCAGGTAGGAGCGAAGCGCGCTCCGGGCAGGGAAGAAAAATTCGTGGTGGGCCCTAGACAGTATTCCCACTCGGGAACCTGCTCGATACCATGACGAGAAGTGAGAAAGGATGAATGAATTATGAAACAGTTGGGTACAAGTACTAACCCTAATTGGGTTGTACCCCTTATGGGCTACCCCACTACAGCCTACACAAATGTATAAGCTATAATATTCTAACACAAGACCCTGAGGAGGGAGAGGGTCTAACGGGGGAGGACCTGGCGCAAGGAAGAGCGCCGGCGGGGGGACAGGCGCAGTGCAGTAGGGGAAGAGACGGTAGTATGGCACCGACTCGTCAAAGGTGACGTCCTGGGAGGACAGAACACGGCGCGAGGTGGGGTGGTAAAACTGCCAACCAGGCGCGTCAGGGGGGGAGCTAAGGAAGACGCAGGGAACAGTACGGGGGGACATCTTGTCCGCAGACAAGTCGCGGACAAACGCCCGAGATCCCCAGACCCGAAATGCAGACGCATCGCCAACCTTCCCCGTCCACCGCAAGGTGGGGGAGGTCTCTGGCAAGGAGACCCGGGGCTGAAGGTTGAGCTGATGCGCGGCGTACTGAACCGCAAACGGCCACAGAAAATGGGGGGCATGCCGCATGCATCATGGACGTACGAGCGACGTCCATGACCATGCCAATGCGGCGCTCAGCAATCCCATTTTGCTGTGGAGAGGCCGTAAGCGTGAAGGTCTGGCGGATGCCCTGTGCACGACAGAAGGTTCCCACACGGGCAGAGGAAAACTCCTCGCCTTTGTCATAGTGCAGACGCAGAACAGGAAAGTCCGAGCCAAAACTCTCTCTGAGCTGGAGACGAGCTGCGCGGATCCAGTCGATCAACACCTCAGTGACGTCACCCTTGCTGCGCAAGGGGAACACCATGGTGTAACGCGAGAAGTCGTCAACCACCAACAGGAAGTAACGCTCGTGACCCTGGTCACGGATGTGGGCGGGGCCCCACACGTCCATGTGAAGAGTCTGCAAGGGAGCCTCTTTCGGAGGAAACTCGGAGGAGTGAGGGGCGGCGCGCTGCCGCCCCTCGACACAGGGAACGCAGGTAGGGGCAGGCCCCGAAGGGAGGGGAGGGAGGGACCAGGGGAGACCAGAGACAAGAACACGGGAGGCCATGCCTCGGAGACGAGGCAGGGAGGGGTGACCTGTTAAAGACTAAGGACGGAGACCATGAAGATTAGGTGCCTAAATTTCTCAAAATCGTTGGCTTAGAATTCTGGACAGAAACGTCGAGCTCACAAGAAACGCCGTAGACGTAAAAGTTCACTGTCAAACCTTCACGAAACTCAGATATGTTGTAGCTCTACTCCGTGGCTACAATTCTCAAGTTGAATCATGTGAAAAGGTGAAGTCTTTCTTGAGTTATCAGTTTCGGCGCACTAGGGGGTATGCTGCCATAGAATCTTAACTCAATCACAAAGTTCTCATAATTACACAATCACTACACAAGAGAGTTAGAGTGGCACTAAACCAGGTAGGAGGGATGAGGAGGACGAGAGGGAAGGTCCCAAGAGAGTCCCCAACCAAGGAAACCCCATGCCACATAATTCCCTTCTCCATAGGCAACCCCACTTTCACTTTTGTCACTATCCAACCCATGCCATCCACCTTGCCCAACTTGGCCACACTTGCCAACCTGGTTTGGTTTCTCCCAACCACTTGGCAGCATCTACAGTGATGTTGACGAATTTCCCAACCCCCAAAAGTCTGTACCCCATATTGAGTCAACCCCACAACTTCCCATAGTCACCACAACCAAATATCAAAAGCATATGAACTCCAACGTTCGTAACTTTCTTGTTCGTGCTCCGATTGAAGCGATACTTGGTTCGTCGGAAAGCTCTTGAGCAGAGGAGTCACTTCAGATATCTGCTCAAGCCAAATAACATTCACACACAGTCAGAAAAACCGAACCACATCAAACACAAATTCTTGCACACGCTTACACCGCGCATGCAACGCCCGAACATATGATGGGAGGCAGACAGACGTGAATGCAAATGATAGCATCACATGACAAACTCCCCCTCTGGCTGCCTACCATCATCCCACATGCCATAGCTCAATCATGCACCCTCAATGCACATTCATTCCAGCAAGTTCCATTCACTTCCAACACTCATCCCAATGGACAATCATCTCCTTCCCACATCCTACTTCCAACATCTCCTCTTTGCTCAAATCTGCAGCACCCTCTGCAGCCTCTGTTTCAAAACACTATCCACCAAGCCATCTCATTGCAGCTCCATCGCAATATGCTATCTCATCCTCATCGATCTGTTCAGCCACACTTCTAGCCGATACCACACTTGGCGTGCCATGGCTCGCATAGGTCAGCCGGTTAGGAGGGCGCACATCCCTCCTAGGACGGTCAGCCGGACGTGCGGCACCTTGTGGAGCACCTTGCTGCTGCTGCTGCTGCTGCGGCTGCTGCTCCTCCTCCACCTCAGGTTCTCCCCCATCCTCAGTAACCCCAGAGATTTCCTCCTCTGAGACAGTGACCTGCACTTGTCTCGAAGGCCGCTGCACCTCATCGGCCTCAATGATCAGCTGTGTAGTAGGAAGCTTCTGCTGCTGCTGCTTCCACCTTTTGTAGTATAAGGACTCGAGGAACTTCACATCCCTTGACACAGTCAGCTGCTGGCTGGTCAAGTCCCAAATCAGCCAGCCCTTGTGATTCTTAGCAAGCCCCAAGTGCACACCCCATCTCCCAGAAGCTTCCAGTTCTCCCCTCTTCTCCTTGGGCACATGAAACACCACCATGCACCCAAAGGCTCTCAGCATGTTGACTGCTGGTGCACTCCCATACCACTTGGTGTAGGGGACCCACTGCTTGTCCCCCACAGTTGCCAGCACCCTGTTCTTCACAAGGGCGACCTGCCGCAGTGCAGTCACCCAAAACGGATCCGGCAGCCCTGCACGCCCAAGGAGAGTGCGAGCACCTTCCTGCAGGGTCCGGTTGAACCGCTCAGCCACGCCGTTCTGCTGAGGGTTGAAGGGCACCGTAAGCTGATGCTGGATCCCCTTCTTCTTCAGCACTGCCTCAAAATCAGCGCCAATGAATTCTCCCCCATTGTCGGTGCGGATCACCTTCACCTTGTGTCCGCTCTCCCTTTGAGCTCTTGGCATCCACTCCTTGAGAACAGCCGCTGTCACCTCCCCCTTAGTCTTCAGAGGGTAGACCCACACCGCACCTGTGTGGTCGTCCACAATGGTCAGGAAATAGCGGCTGCCCGAGAGAGAAGGGGCCCTCATGGGGCCCACCACGTCCATGTGCACAAGTGCAAGTGGCGCCTTGGCTGGTCCTGTGCTGCTGCTGAAGGGAAACTTTGTGAACTTGGTCTCAAGGCATGTAGGGCAGCTCCCAATCTCCTTTGCTGCCCCCTTCACTTCCAGCCCCTTCAAGCACCCATCCTTCACTAACTTTTGCAGCATAGGGATGTTGATGTGACACATCCTCTCGTGCCACGTCTCCCAATCGGCCTCACCACTCCCAGATGAAGCTTTTGCCCATGCAGCTGTCGCATCCACACCAGCAAGCACCTCACCATGTGGTTGCTGTGACTGCTGCACCTTCTTGACTGCATCCAGGGCCCCTGCAGTTGGTGCAGTCTCCTCTCCTCCCGCAGTTGCTTTAGCCGTTGCCGCTGCCTTTGCCGTTGCAGGTGGTTTCCCCTTCCAAGGGATGATGATGGGCAGCTGCCATAGGTCCTTGATGCAGCTGCTCTTCTCCTCCAAGTTCCACAACAGCAACTTCCCAAGCTTTGCACGGCAGCTGGTTGGGCCGAAGGTAACTTCAGCCTTGCTCTTCTGCAGCCGGCGCACAGAAAGAAGGTTAGCGGACAAACCTTCAACCAACAGCACATTCCCAAGCCCCACAAGCTCTCCATTGGCTCCCATCACCTTGGCATTCCCAACACCAATCACAGGGAGCAAAGCACGTGAAGCGGCAGCCACAAACTTGATCTTCCCAGGAGGTTTTACCTCATCAAGCAAATCTGCCCTGTGGTGTCATATGACTCGAGCAACCTGAATCGATCACCCAGTGAGTGAGGGGGTGCATCACAACCTTCCCAACTGAACCCACATCACCCCCACTCCCTTGCACATCCTTAACTATGAGGAACATCCCAGGGTCGGCTTTACCTTGTGCACCATCACCTTGTGCACCTGAACCTTGCACAGCGCCACCTCGTGCACGTTCACCACTTGGCGGCTTCATGCCTGGGGGCGCCCATCCCTCAGGCCGGCTGAAACACTTGAACCACGGGTGTCCAGCCTTCTTGTAGTACCAGCACGCACCCTCCATTCGGGTGCTCCCCCTGCCACCAGAGCTCCCATGCCCCTCATTGTAGTCACCTCGGCGTCTCCCTCTGCCAAAGCCTCTCCCACGGCCTCGGCCTCTCCCTCCCCCACTTCCTCTGCAACCTCCTGCAGCTCCATACCCCTCAGCAGTTTTGTTGGCAGGACCACCTCCCGTGTGGCGCCTGCGGAAGTCCTCCTGCAGGATCTGCTGCCGTAGCCACTCAGGCGTCCACTTGTCCTGCTGAGCGTTGAGGGTGGGGATAAGGTTGTCCCACAAGTTGTCGAGCACCGAGATGATTTTGGTGCACTGCTGCATTTCCGACACCTTGCTGCCCGCCGCTGCCATCCTCGCATAGATATCCTTGACCTTGTCAAGGGCCAGCTTCACATCATCTCCCGGCCGCATGGAGAGGGCAGCCAGCTCCTTCTCCAATACGATCACCATCGGCAGCGTGTTGGGTTGAACCACGTCGCGTAGCAGCTTCCACGCCTTCGGTCCCGAGTCATCGAGCTCCACCAAATCCTTGATGTGCTGGAACATGTCGTTGTTGACCGACTGTAGAATCAAGTCGTACAGCACCGCGCTCCGCTCAATCCACCGATCGCGGGCATCTCCTTCCTCGGGCATCTTCTCCTCTCCCATTGCAATTTTCAGTAGCTTGTAGCGCTTGAAGGCGCTCCGCATCCGCCCGCTCCATTCCTCATAGTTTGAGCCATCCAAAGCTTCGATCTTGGATGGTGGCGGTTCACTCCTCTTCTCAGCTGCATCTCCACTCCCTTGATTCATCTCCTCTGCTTCCAATCAGAGGTTTCAGCTCCCTCTTTTGCTGGTCACAATGTAGATCCATACAATCTTCACAAGTGTCGGCGCCAACGAAATTTCGGCAGAGTTTCCCCTTAACGGAAGTCACATCCAGCCTCCAGAACTCCACTTAGGCACGCCCACAGGCCATGGTGGGTCTAGGAGGGTCTTCACACTTCAGTAGACTCTCCACAAAGTCCTTAATCAGCTCTGATACCACTTGTTAAAGACTAAGGACGGAGTCTATGAAGATTAGGTGCCTAAATTTCTCAAAATCGCTGGCTTAGAATTCTGGACAGAAAAGTCGCGCTCAGAAGAAACGCCGTAGACGGAAAGTTCACCGTCAAACCTTCACGAAACTCAGGTATAATGTAGCTCTACTCCGTGGCTACAATTCTCAAGTTGAATCATATGAAAAGGTGAAGTATTTCTTGAGTTATCATTTTTGGCGCACTAGGGGGTATGCTGCCATAGAATCTTAACTCAATCGCGAAGTTCTCATAATTACACAATCACTACACAAGAGAGTTAGAGTGGCACTAAACCAGGTAGGAGGGATGAGGAGGACGAGAGGGAAGGTCCCAAGAGAGTCCCCAACCAAGGAAACCCCATGCCACATAATTCCCTTCTCCATAGGCAACCCCACTTTCACTTTTGTCACTTTCCAACCCATGCCATCCACCTTGCCCAACTTGGCCACACTTGCCAACCTGGTTTGGTTTCTCCCAACCACTTGGCAGCATCTACAGTGATGTTGACGAATTTCCCAACCCCCAAAAGTCTGTACCCCATATTGAGTCAACCCCACAACTTCCCATAGTCACCACAACCAAATATAAAAAACATATGAACTCCAACGTTCGTAACTTTCTTATTCGTGCTCCGATTGAAGCGATACTTGGTTTGTCGGAAAGCTCTTGAGCAGAGGAGTCACTTCAGATATCTGCTCAAGCCAAATAACATTCACACACACTCAGAAAAACCAAACCACATCAAACACAAATTCTTGCACACGCTCACACCACGCATGCAACGCACAAACATATGATGGGAGGCAGACAGACGTGAATGCAAATGATAGCATCACATATCATGACCAAGGCGGTGGTTCCAAAGGAGAGTCTGGTGGGACAGGAGACGAATCAAGCAGGGGGCAGACTCAGGACCAGACCTGGACGCTGCAGCAAACACCTGACTCGACGCAGCTACCTGACCAGACTCAGCAACCGTAGGAGACTCAGTAGTCAGTGTGTACAGGTTCGACCTCCGTCGACGGGTAAACGTGGCCAAGTATCGGCCCGTCCGAGCACACGTACAGTGGGTCAACCGCTGACAAGCAGGAGTGAACTGGTCAGCCCCCCCATCCTGTAGATCAGCACCACTCACCAAGTTTTTAGAGAACGAGGGGAAGTAGAGACCTGACAGGGTGCCAAAGGGGGCTGCCGGACACGTTAAGAAAGTGGAGAAGCGAGCAAGGACACGACCTCCAGAGGGGTCCGCCAGGGAGACCACAACCGGCCGACTAAGCGGCGTAAGCGTGGTGCGGTCTCGAAAGAGGGAGCGGAAGCACCCGAGTCAAGGGTGAAGGTGTGGAAGGCCTGAGCCAACGTGGTACTTGAGAGAGCAGACTCACCAGCACCTGGGGCAGCAGACGCACTAGCACCTAGAGCAACTGCCTCACTAGCACCTAGAGCAGCAGCCTCAATGCCCGGGTCAGGCGGAACACACGGGTAACAGTCACCCTCATCACTAGTAGACACAGCATACATGGCAGCAAGAATAGTATCATAGTCAAGATCAAAGATAGCAACCCCCACCCTAAACAGCTCTCCCCAGCGAGGGATCTCAGTGGCGTCAGGGAACTGGTGACTCCAAGCGTCCGTCAAGCGGCCAGAGCAGCGCTGGGTGGAGTGCGAGCCCCCACACTACTCACCAGCGCAGTCGCCGGTACGGAGGACGTAGGTACAGGGACCAGTACTCCCACCTCGCTGACGCCCAGCATACCACTCACGAAGCTGCTGAGGGGACGGGGTCTCACGAGTGCGCTGCTGCTGCTGGCGGTGACCACCACCTAAGTCGCCCCGCTACGCAGAGCCACCCCGACTAGCTCCCCCGCCTCCGCCGCCACCTCCGCCACCGCCGCCACCGCCTCCTCCTCCGCTCCCACCGCCACCGCCACCGCCGCCTCCTCCGCCACCGCCGCCACCGAAGCCCCCACCGCCGCCACCACTCCCACCACCACCCCCAGTCCCTCCGCCTCCTCCACCTCCACCTCCACCGCCCCCGCCAGCCCCTCCAGCTCCCTTGCCCCCCTTGCCCTTGCCGGTGCGGCGTCGCCCGCTAGGGGCAGACGCAGCGCCTACCGACTCGGTGCCAACGAAGTCGACAACAGCAGCAGAGGCAATAGAGGGCAAATTGGGGGAGGGGGAGCACCCCTCAAAGACGGGGGCACGAGGGTCACCACGAGAGGCTCCTACTGTGACTATACTCTTCTCAGCTGCCAGGAGGCGCTCCTCGAGGAGGTCAACGGTGAGTGTGGTGTGGCAAATAGAGAGGAAGTGGTCCCTGACCGAGCGAAGGGAGTCAGGGAGCCGGGTGACTATGTAGTAGAGGGTGATGTACATGGGGGGGTGGGTTCTTGGCGCATAACTCAGCAGGAAGCGCAGCGCGGTAGCGGGTGTCACTAGTGCGAAGGTGCGTAACGAGGTCAGCGACAGTGGGAAAGGCGGCGAGGTCAGGAAACAGGTACTGGCAGGATGAGGCGGCTAAGAGCAGCAGTGGTAGGGGAAGAGTAGCGTGCAACTACAGTGTCGTACAAGGTCCTAGCACTCTTGTACTGACTAAAGTGCACGCGCTCAGCGGCCGGTAAGTGGCGACGCACACCAAGACGGGCAGCATCATCACGTGTGGCCCACTGTGAGCGAATAGTGCTGTCAGCATCAGTAGGCGGGGCAGGAGAGGCACCAGAGGTGAGATCGAACAGGGAGAGTCCGTCTGCCCTATCGCACTGTAGGAAGAGCTGGAGGTCATCGACCCAGACCTCAAAGTCAGCAGCACGACCCTCAGCATCAAAGGTAAGGACACTGGGAGTAGCCATGACAGCACTGGTCTAGCAGGGAGTGCTCTCACTAGTCTGGGTGGGGAGGGCCGGTGCGCGCCGGTAGAGACAGTAGCGGCTCGACGGCGGCTCAGTAGTAGCCGCTCGGTAGTGGCGGCTCGACGGCGGCCTCGGCTGCTTGGCGGCTCGGCTGCTGGGCGGCTCGGTTGCTGGGCGGCTCGGCGGCTTGGCTACTGGGCGGCTCGGCTGCTGGGCGGCTCGGCTCCAAGGCGGCTCGGCTGCTGGGCGGCTCGGCTGCTGGGCGGCTCGGCTGCTGGGCGGCTCGGCGTGCCGATAGGGGTCGTGAAGGGCGGCGACGGGGCCACTAGAGGCGGCGACGGGGCTGCGAAGGGCGGCGACGGGGCCGCTAGAGGCGGCGACGGGGCCGCGAAGGGCGGCGACGAGGCCGCTAGGGGCGGCGACGGGGCCGCGGAGGGCGGCGACGGGGCCGCGAAGGTCGTCGATGGGGCCGCTAGGGGCGGCGACGGGGCCGCTAGGGGCGGCGACGGGGCCGATAGGGGTGGCGACGGGGCCGGTAGGGGCGGCGACGGGGCCGCTAGGGGCGGCGACGGGGCCGCGAAGGGGCCGCGAGGGGCCTAGAGGGGCGGCGACGGGGCCGCAAAGGACGGCGATGGGGCCGTAAGGGGTGGCGACGGGGCCGCTAAGGGAGGCGCGAGGGGCCGTGAGAGGCAACGTGAGGGCGGCCAACGGGGCGCGCCTCGGGCAGGGGCGACTCGCGCTCCGGTCAGGAAAAAAAAATCGATTTCAGTGGTGGGCCGTGAGAAGCGTTCCCACTAGGGAACCTGCTCTATACCATGTGAAGAAATGAGGAATGAATGAACTAGCAAGCAGGTGGGTACAAGTAGGAAAACCTAAAAGTGTTGTACCCCATATTGTCTACCCCACTACAGCCTACACATACTATAGCATATGAGTTTGACAATAGATTCCTTCGCGAACTGCTGCGCTTAGCTGCGATGAATTCTGCTTCTGCTGACGAGAAGGCGATGAGTTCCTGTTTGTTGGAGTTCCAGGAGATGGTTCCTGAAGGCCCGAGCTTGAAAATGAAGCCTGTGCGGGACCTCCTGTTGTCTGCATCCCCAGCGTGGTCATTATCCACATAGCCGGTAAGTTGTACTGGCACTGTTAAGTTGGCCTTGTAGGTGAGACCGACATCAGGCGTAGAGATGAAGTACTGTAGGGCGCGGCGCAGGTCTGCTAGGTTCTCCCCTTCAGGTCGTCGCAGGTACTGGGCGAGCTGGCTGGCGATGTAGGATATGTCCGGGCGGCATGTGACGGGGGCGAACAGTAAACATCCGGGCTGCTGCTGGTAGAGACGGTGATCAGACGTTGAGAGCGGAGTAGTGTCGGGCTCGTGGTTAGGCGGAGGAATGCGGAACGGGGTGGTGACGCTGACGGGAGTGATCCCAAACTTCTCAGTGAGAGTCTTGGCGTACTTCCCGGCGGAGAGATGGATTGTGTCCGCGGTCTGAGTGATGTTTAGGCCGAGGAATTGAGTGACCTCATGGTCGATCGTGACTTTGAGCTTCTCCTGAATTTCGCGTTCGAAGCGATCGAGTAGGTCTGTGTTGTCTCCGGTGTAGAGGAGATCGTCTACGTAGGCGACGAGTAGGATGAAGTGGCCGCGGGATTCGAGGCGGTACATCCCTTGGTCGTGGGGAAGTTGTTGGACACCGAGCTCGATGAGGATGCCGTGAAGATGCTGCTGCCACAGGCGTGGTGCCTGCTTGATCCCGTACAGAGATTTTCAAAGGAGACAAACAACGGCGCCATCTTCTTCAAACGCATGTGGCTGCTCGACGTAGATGACGGCATCGACGATCGCGTAGAGAAACGCGTTGGGGACGTCGATCTTGCGAAGTGGACGCTGTTTCACGGCGGCCATGCAGAGAAGAATGCGCACTGAGGTATGACGACCGACAGGTGCAAATGTTTGGTTGTAGTCCACAAATTGTGTCTGCTCGAATCCGCGAACCACCCATCGCGCTTTGAATTTCTCGACTGTTCCGTCCACGAGGGTCTTGATTCTGAAGACCCTCTTCCCTGAAAGGATTTTCCTCCCCTTTGCGTGGCGGCATGGTACCAGCTTCCAGGTGCCGCGGCGTTGGAGTGCAGCGACTTCGGTGGCCATGGCGGCTCTCCACTTCTCAGCATCGGGCCCGTTGAGAGCCTGGCGAACGGTGGTGGGCTCGAGCAGCTGCTCGTTACCCCGAACGGCGACAGCGAGGCCAAGAATGCGAAGGCTCGTAAGGTTGGATTCGGCTGTGGTGGTAACTTCTACCACGTCATCGTCGTCGCCAGGGATGTCGCGAAAGGTGTCACGGGAGGAGTCGCGAGTTGGGTCTTCGTTCATGGGTGAGTGCATTTCTGCACTTGCATAATTGTGCTGTGCCTGTACTACTTCATGGGGATCGATGTTGGTTGGGAAGTGTGTAGGAGTGCCGAACTGCTCCGTAGCGGGGATGAAGGGTGCTTCTGTCGGAACCTCCCCACCTCCCTGCTGCTTGTTCTGTCAGACTCCAGTCCTTGCTGGTCTCTTCTTCCTTATCTCCTAGGACTGCACTTGTTGGATCTCACCCCTTCCGTACACTCTTACCCAGAACCTCTCTTGCACTCGTCAGTCTTACTGATTGATCTCCTTCTATGGCCTCTGCCTGCACTCTCTCTTCCCCTCTCCCTCTTCTCTAGTACTGCTCCTTGTACTGAACTCACACTTGGAACGCGACTTTGGAACAGACTAGCAACCACTCTGCCAATTGCCTCTGATGCCCGCCTCCTGCTTCTTTCCCTCCAGCTGCCACTGTGCTGTTCCAGCTGGCTCCTTGTAGCACACCTTCACACATACGAAAGCAAACACACATGCATGCGAGCACCCATCCGAGCTGATGTGGTAACCTGCTGGCCCTGCCGCTGCCAAGCGCTGCAGTTGCAACCCTTGCCCACCTCCCATTTACGTAAGTCCTACCCTAGTTTGCTTCCCATGCCTCTCCCCAACCCTTCGCTTCGGCAGACGTCACCCTCCCGCGCACCCACTTGTCTCCCAGCAACCTCAACCCCCACCTTGACCCTTCGCATCCCATCCTCGGCACTGCCCTCCTCACTATGTACAGTCTATACAATTTGTACACTTCCTGATCTCTCCTCACTATCCCCCTCACATTCACATAAATGTGACCCTTCATCTGCTGCTGCCTCTGTCTGTTCTCCTGCCACGTCAACGTCGTCCTCGTCATTGGCATAGCTGTGCTATCCCTGAAAATTTTTGTCTGGTGGGTTTTGTGTAGTGCGGTGCTGGCGGTACAGTGGCAGGGTCAGTCTTTCATAGAAGATGCAGTCACGTGAACGCGTGAGCTGGTGGGTGGCGAAGTCCAGAATTGTCAAGGCGTGGTATTCGGATTCGATGCCGAGGTGAATGCCCTAGCGAGCGCGATCCTCAAATTTTCCTGTTCGGGCAGTGTGGGGGCGGTACTGTACCATGCACCTGAAGACCCGCAGCATGCGTGTATCGGGGTGTTTTCCGGTCCACTCCTTGAAGGGTGAGCTGTTGTTGGGCAGTGCCTTCGAGGAGAGCATGTTGTGCAGCCGACAGCTTCATGAGGGCTCGCATTTTTGTCGCGAGGCTTCTGTTGGTTCTCTCAGCCAATCCCTGCTGCTCGTGGGCATAAGGCAGAGAGATCATCCTCTTGATCCCCTTCTGCTGGCATAGGGTTTTGAAGTCGTCCGACATGTACTCCAGAGCTCCGTCTGTCTGGAACGCCTTCAGCTTGTAGCCGTCACTTTGATTTTCTGCCATGGCGAGCCAGACTTCAAAGCAGTAGTAGGCGAGGTAGCGGTCCTTGACGTTCACGGCCCAAACAAAACGTATGCCAGCGTCGATGAAGGTAAGGGTGTACTGCTCCCCGCCGACTCCTTTCGCCGTGAGCACTAGAAAGTCGCTATAAACTTTCTCCAGCGGTTTATATCGTTCCACTCCAGGAATCTTTTCAGCGAAGGGTGTGTGGCGGAGCGCGGCTGTCGGGCAGACGGTGCAGGCCGGTAGATCGGTTCGTGGTTTCAGCAGATTTCCATCGGGCAGCAACAGTGCGTCTGCCGCAAAAACATTTGCGTTGATGCAGTTGTTGAGCACCTCGATTGATGGGTGTCCCATGCGTTGATGCCAGATGTCTCCGTCGGCCTGATATCCCTTGGTGCGCGCGTACAGCTTCTCTCGTGCAAATATTTCCTCCGCTGTTTCTTGCCTTGTCTCATCTGCAGATTCGTCGGGCACGGTGACTTGAACTGCCGCTGAATGAATTGTCACGCTATGATACGTTCCGGTGGTGTCGCCGACGGTGACAGTGTCCATCGTCACTGGTAGCTTCAGTGGCTCCTTTGGGCGCGGGGGCGAGATTCGTACGCGGCGATCTTCGGGTTGCGTGATTTCTCCTTCCTCGAAATTGACATCGCCGATCGCCACTCCCCTTGTCTCGAGAAGAAGGTAGTTCCTGTTGTCCGTCATGATGGGAAGTAGGTGAGGTCCGTACTCCGTCAGTAACTCTTCTCCTCTGCTTCTGGTGCCTCTTCGGTAATTTCCGGTTCCTCTGCTGCTTCTTCTACAGGTGTGTTGGCGATGTTGCCCAATCCAGTTTTAGCTGCGATGGCTTTGCCCAGCGCGGTATTCTCCGTGACCTGACGCATATCGACTGCGTCCCATCCTTCGATTGTGTTCCAGCCGGTGGGACGTTCGACAGGCGGCCAGAAGGTTTGCGTTCTCATCAGTTCAGCTGTTCCGACTATCGTTCCTAACATGAGCTCTTCTCCTTCTTCCACTGCTTCTAGTCCGGTTTTTGCAGGGTTCGTTGTTGAGGCGACGAGCACGGCGAGAGCTGCGGAAGGAGCCGTCGAGGTCGGGTTGTTGATAATCGGTTTCTTCTGGGTGGCTCCATCTTGGCGGCAACGGGTAGCCCGGAGGGTCAAGAACAAGGATGCGTTCTTTGTCG